CACGGCTTGGATGGCGCGCTGTGAAGGCGGTTGCATCATGGAGCAGACGGTGCAAGCCGGCGCTCCTGCGGCCGCACAAATGTGGCCCTCACCATCCAGCAGCCAACCAAGCTCAAAGTGTCAGGCAGCGCTTCATGCTTGCAAATGGCTGCAGGTCTTCCGAAACCGCTGTGCCTGGTGGTATCCATAGCGTGGCCTCGCCACCCCGTCGGTCGCGGCCAGCCCGGCCAAAGGCCTGCGACAAGGTGTAGCCGTTGTAGCCGCTGCCAAACCAGATCACCTTCCGGACGTTGGGCATGTCCAAGCCCGCGCCCAAGCAGCTTGTGGCCACCAAGACCAGACTCTGCGTATTGAGCTGAGACAGTAAAGCGGTTCAATTGCACTTCTCTCACAGGAGAGAACGATAGAAAACAGAAAGGGAAATATCCAAAAGAAAATGCCACTCACGGTCAGCGGGACCGTACTTATAATCTGGTGGCTAAACACACCCAGAATGTACGAGAGGGTTCCTCGACGGGCGGCGGCAGCTGCACATCGTCGAGTACACTTATGCAATCCTTCCAGAGGGATCTGGCAGGTGGTCGATGCTTGCACTCCAATACTGCGTGCCGCTCCTCCACTGCTCGAGAGCCGCTCGTGTGTCTTCGGTTGGCATGTCAGCATCCACGGCCAGCGTCTGCTCGTGACCCAACGTGCGTGCCAACTGAGTCGACAATGCCTCAACCTGCTTCTTCGTGTCACAAAAAATCAGCATGCAATCCACGCGGCCCCCTCGCTCCAGCAGGCCGTAGTGGTGTTTCACAAACGTCTCAAATGCCTTTGTTGATCCTTGTTGCACCCCTAGCCAAAGATCGGTTCGCATGGTTGGCATACAAAAGATCTGGCACGAAGCGTCCTCCGTGCAATCCAGCTGTTGGAGCAGAGCCCGCTCATCTTTGGGGCAAAGCGTGCCAGTCAGGCCCACACACTTGACAGATGGGTTTTGGCGAAGATGGTTCAGCCGGCCTGGGCAGCGAACAAGATTGTCTCTATAGCTAGAGTCCACGAGCATTGTGTGAACCTCGTCCATCACCAGCATGGCCAGACGCTTCTGCTGCACGAGAGTTTGCACCCACATCCTCCCATGGCCAACCAAAAAGTCGACCGTCATGACAATCACTTGCACATGTCGGTCGTCATCATCCTCACTCAATCGACATTTGATCTTCTTTCATCCTCCTTCTGATCCACACAGACCACTCGCCTGCCGCGTGTTGGTGAACAAGGGTCAGATCAAGTCTCAACAGCGCATAGCTCAATTCCTCAATATCCCCTTGGCCCGTCTAGAACTGTCGATTCGCGCCAGTTGAGTGGTGTGTGAAAAGGGGTTTGGAGCTTTCAGAGAGAGAGAGAGAGAGAGAGAGAGAGAGAGAGAGAGAGAGAGATTTACATGATAGAGAGATTTCGAGAGAGAGATTGAGAGAAGATTGAGAGAGAGAGAGAGATTGAGAGAGAGAGATTGACAGAGCAGCCATTGCAAGGCAAGTTGTGCTCTGAGACAGAGGGAAAAAAAAAAGATAAGGCCAACAGCACCATGTATTCCCATCTGGTCACCCACGATAGTACTAGCATGGCCCAACATGGCTTAACTGCGGCGATCGGACGAGAGCCGGTGTATTCCATGTGGTATGACCGTTAGCGATTAACAGCCGAGTAAAATGTATATATAACCTGCTTTAAATTTCGAGGTACCTTGAATTGACTTTCTGTCTGCAAGCAATAATTACACGTCAACACTGTGACCAACTGTAACAACATCTGATGTGATACGCCCTTCATGATATTCTCATCTTTCTATGGGATTGTCGCACTTTGTCACACTATACTCTTTCGCTGCCTTTCTCTCTCTCTTCTCTCCCTCTCTCTCTCTCTCTCTCTCTCTTCTCTTCTCTCTCTTCTCTCTTCTCTCTCTAATCAATTTTTTTTTTTGACTTTCCAGATCTTGAACCGGCGGTCAGTGAATGGGATCCAGTGTGTCGAATGTGTGGTGCAAGGCCCTGTACCTTCTTCTACTCCTCGCTCGGCGGCTCGGCCTGTTTTCTGCTCGCCTCGACGCGACGCGATTTCATGCCTGGGAATGAGCGGGCTCATCGCCTTGGTTTTTTGTCGGCACCGTAAACATACACAAACACCGCGATCCGAGCCAGTGTAAAGCGGCTTGGGCGCTTGGCCTGTCGCGGCGTTGTATCTGTTCGTGCTCCTCACTGATTGCCCGTTCAACCCGTCTATCTGCCAACCCAGACCCACCGATATCTGGCATCTGTGAGCCCGGCGACACCGGCGCCATGAGCTTTATGCACCAAGAAGTACGTGACGCTGCCACCTGGCTTTTTTTTTTTTTGGTCGCCGCTCGTTGTCTCGTGCCACCCGCAAAAAAAACTTGCGCTCGCGTCAGGCTTGACCTCTTTGAGACGAGATCTTCGACGTCTACCACCCGACGTGATTACGCCTTGTTTTAATGGCTCACACCAGTCGCCTTTCACGCCGTGCACTTGCGTGACATGCCCGGACCGGACATAGGTCAAGTACCGCGGTATGGAGCCCGTTTTGGGCTGGCAACCCACCCAGGCTCAGCCGCGGCCCGGCTTGATCGAGGTGCGAAACTAATCTTTGACATCCTCTTTTCTGACCAAACTGGGGCCCAGCTCAAGATGAGCGCCAGCTCCTTGCTTTCTCTTGGTGTTGCCCTTGATTGGCGCGGGTTTGTGACATTGACCCACTGTCCCACTCTCCTCTGCTCTGCCCAGGCCAATGCCTGCGTCAAGCGCCTTTTCGTGCGCCCCAAGCAGTCGCGACTTTCCGTCATCAGTTGCAGCCCCGATGGTATGACATCACGACCACGCTCGAAGATCCAAACGAACCATGGAACCGGAGGCAGAGTCTGACGAGGCGCTGTCATGATCTGACCCTTGGTTCTTGGCACATTTTGATGCGACCGTCCTTCCCCTTTGCCTAGGTGGTCTGCAGTGCGTTGACACCTCGTATAACCCACCCGAGGTCATTCTCAAGTAAGGCTCTGCGCACCTCCTGGCTGCATATGTGAGATGTTGTCCCGCAAGACGTGCGTTTGGCCCGACAATCTCACCCTAATGACGACCCCTATCACAGCAACTCTGTGTACGAGATCGCACACTGCGGTGTTGACGTGTCCAAACCGCGACTCTTTACAGTCATCGTGGGCAAGAAGGAGTCGTCAGACTTTTTCTGCCATGTCTTCAAATGCGCATCGAAGGACAGCGTACGTCAACGCGTTCCGAGTCGGTGTCTTGTTTGCTTTGTATCGCAGCGTGCCGTTTCGGGGCTACATGCGGGCTCAGCGGGGCCGTTTCTGGCCCACCTTGCAATGCAGACGTTCTTCATCATCCTGGGCTGCTTTCTTCATAGGCGGCCCGCTTCGTCAAGGCCGTGGCCAGCGCGTGCACTCTGGCCTACCAAAACTATCAGAAGAAGAAGTCGGCTGCCTCTGGTGGTCGTGGCAGCGGCAGTGGCGCCCCGGCCCAGGCTCCGGCCCGTGGCTCTGTGAGTCACAACCGCGCACCAGCGTCTTCGTCTGGCGTCAAGTCCGCCCATATTCGCAGCGTGCGTAGTTGACCCCAATCCCAATTCCCAATATTTGCTCGCATCTCGCTCGCGGTCTGATTTGACCGCATGGTTATGTTGGCATGATCACATTTAGAGCATGCGCCGACCCGTGGGTGGCAAGGATCGCCGAGAAGTTCGCAACGGCAAGCCAAACCCCAAACTTACGGTAAGTGCGCCCACCTTTATCGCACTCTTTCCCTTTTAGCACTTGATCTCATCTGGTCGTGTCGCCCGGGCGGCCCATACCTTTCAGGACTCGTGGTTTCGACCCTCCATGTCACGTGCTGAAGTCGCATCGATTCTGCGTGGTGGTACGCCCAACCCTGTGCTGCTTTCCTGGAAAAGGACGGGGGCGATGCCAGGCCTCTTTCGTTGGTCGTCCGGCCAACGTGTTGATTGATCCGCTATTTATTGCAATAGGCCGCATCGGTGACTTTATTGTGCGCGAGAGTCAAACACGGTGTGTGGCTGTTACCTCCTTGCTTCTCGCCCACAAAGAGAGTAAAAAGATAAAAAGAAAGGCGACGAGTGTGAAATGCCCACGTGATCTTTCCTCGGTGGTCCGCTTACCCCGTGCATTTCCGTAGCCCGGGCGATTACGCCATCAGCGTGCAGACGGGCGCCCAGATCTGGACTGGTCTGATTCCGCACGCACCACGTGGTATGATTCCACAGCAAACCATACTCAGTCATCCTCCGTTCCTTACGCCTGCCCCCCCCCCCCCCTGTCCTGCATTCTCCTGTGGGCGGCAAAGTCATCCCACCATGTTGAGCGTACGATGCCACAGCTCTCATTTTGAAGCATCTTGTTGCTCAACCGTAGGCTTTCAGCTGGGTGAGCGTGGTGGTGTGAGCTTTGCAGAGCTGACCGACTTGATTGCGCACTACGCCCAAAACACGTTCATGAACGATGGGAACGGCTACCCCATGGCGCTCAACCTGCCCGATGACACGGCATGGATCGATCCTCAGGCTGTACGTATCATGCACCCTCAAACCCAATCTCACGCAGGCCATGAGACATAGCCGCAAGCCTGCCGCTGACTTTGCATGACGGATAGGTGCGCCAACAACAACAGCAGCAGCAGCCTTCGCGTGGGCCCCCGGCAGACTGGCGCACGTCACAGCGTCGTAACACCAACCCTGTGCCGGTATTTCCATCCACCCCCCTCCTTGTTTTCTCAACCCAAACTCCGATTGTTATTGCTGTTATTGCTACTCTTCTTATCTTTGTTTGTTTTCTAATTCCCATGGCCTGCGCTCATTCGGTGTGGACTGTTATTAGGTGCCCGAAGAAGACGCCACTTTTGAGCAGATCATGAACGGCGAGTTCAACCCCGACGCACCCAGCGGTGGTTAGTGCGCTGGTTCTGCTTGTCTTTTGGAGTTTTTTTTTTCGGGCCAGTGCGACTGTTTGCGATGCACTCGACTTGATGCGCGCATGGCTGACGATTTTGTCTTGATTTTATCTTTTGACCAGGTTGGCCAGAGTCGTCGGGCGATGAGGAGGACGTGTCCTTTGTTCCCGGGTAGGATTTCCCTATTTTCATACTGTTCACTAACGAGTTTTTTTTTTTTTTTT